GAGAGAGAGAGAGAGAGAGAGAGAGAGAGAGAGAGAGAGAGAGAGAGAGAGAGAGAGTTGCAACATTGAGATTTGGAGTTGACATTTGGGGCAGTGACATTGTGGGGGACTATTGTTGGGATCGATATCGACGACATTTTGGATTGAGGACATCTCCCCTCTTCGTCTCTCCTCCCTCCTCCTCATCCGTGTATGGATTTTGACTGGCGCCTTCGTCCTCATGTTCTGGCGCCAGGCCACTCACACAGTGTGATGAATCTGATGATGATGATGTTCAGTCTGTGTCACGACATTGATTGGGTCTGGTTGTTGGTATTTCAGTCTTCCGTTTTGAGAGGTCGGTTCTTGGTTCTGGTCTGCGTCATTTGGCATGCGACACCCTGTGTCAGGAGGGAAGATAAGGGAGAATAGGCAGGAGCGGAGTGTAATCATTTGGTACTACGTTTCAGAAGACAATAGTGAAGTTCTTTGGTGTTATTGTTCCAGAAGGCTCCACATTTTTTTTCCCCCCAGTCGCATAAGAGTACAAGCTCTAGAAGGCAGAGTACAGCACGGATATGTCTCCTCTGGATGTCACAAAATTCAAAATGCGCACTTTGTTCTTACATAGTATGTTCAGTGACAGCTGTAGTTGATGGACTAATGAAGGGAGAGAGAGCGGCCGTGGCAGTGAGAACAGATGCGGAAAGTGTTGTAGCCCATGATTGGGATGAAAAAGGACAACTTTCCCCGCTTTTTTTCAGGTGAGTGAAGCTTGTATGTACCCCTTACATCTCCAACTTTCTTGTGTTTTTGTTTCTCTTTCTCTGTTTGTTTGTTTCGGCGGATCGCAGCAGTCACCAACTGATGATGCAAACAGCTTTGATCCTTTCCTTCACAATGTGTTCAAGTGCTAGAGATGGTTTTTAATACATTCATTCACACTTTCCTTTTCAGATGTCTTCAGCTGCTATCCCGTCATTTTCTATCATTTTCAATCCTTACATCCATAGCTCCTTTTTCACCACGACTGATCGTACTCCCCCTCCTATCTTTCTGAACAGACCACTGATTCCTTGTCTCCTTGTGAAGCATACCTAAAGTTCTACAAGAGAGGCTCCACATAATCGAGGAGAATGACGTGCAGCTGTGGGTGCTCGTTGTGATCGGGGGGGTGATGACAGTCCACCTGCTCGGTTTCATGGTTTGTATGTGACTGACAAAACTGATTGAAGGGCTATGCCAACAAGCCTTTGTAGTCGAAGACGACATGGACAGGTGGATTACTTTGTGAAATAGGCTGAGCATGTGTTTGAGCATCGGTATGTTGCGCATGAGGAAAGGCGCTTCTGATTGTTTTGTGGGTTGTCCGGCCTCTGTTCTCAAGCCTCATGCTAGTAGAATCATCAAGGACGTGATTTCACCATGAAATGCAAAACACACGCACAGGATGATGCTCTAAATTCCACGGCTATCGTTTACTGCGATTCTTCGACCTGCTCCACTGTCAGAGGAGAAGACGCCTTCGTCTACACATTGCTGGATGCCGAGACTCATCTAATGCTCCCTGGCATTCTCTGTACGTCACCTTTTTCTCTCTTTTTTTTTTTGGGGGGGGGGTGGAGGGCGCGCGGGGCGTATTACAATCGGACACGTTGCCTTGTTTGGATCTTGCCGGCGATTTATCTCTCTGTGTATTTGGTTGCCGCGGTAGTGAAGGTGGGGCAAACTGAAATCCTTATTTAGCATCGCTAATGTTATATAAATGTGCTGAAATCATCGCTTGACTTTGCTAATGTCATATAGCTGTGCTGTGCTGTCCTTGCTGATAGTACAGACATGTGCTTGCTGATACTACAGCTATGTCTATGCATCTATCATTCTGACGACACTATGTCCTTGAGTGCTGCGTCAATGACCACATCAGACCATGTGCGGGAACTGGGAAGCCTCTTCCGCTCTAACATGGTATTGGGATTGGGATGGGGTGACTGAGTGAGGCAGACGGGGAAAGGTGGGTGCACAGGGGTCTATACACTCCAGGGGGCAGACAGCAAAGTGAAAGGGAGGTTGTCTAGCCATGGGGTAATGGGGATGACGGTGACATGAGTGAGTCGTTTGTGTTGAATAGTCTTAGTGTCAGTGCTTTGCCTTATGCCCTTGACCCATCTATAGAGTATAATATGTTTGTGCAAGTGTGCCGCTCCAGCGGCAGACGGGTGTGTGGGCACTTGCTGCTCAACCACACAAACGTGGGCAACCTTGCATCTTCTCATATATTGGCTATCTATACCTCTTTTGTTTGATGGATGGTTTGTGATGATTTGCGGTTAGAATGAGGAGAAAATGTGGGGATCTTGAAGAAACACACACACACACACACACACGCACACACACACACACACGCACACGCACACACACACACACACACACACACACACACACACACACACACACACACACACACACACACAC